CAGCCCGGGAGGCGGGGGGGGGGGGGGGCTGCAGGGGTCCAGCCCTCTACCAGGAGTTGGAGACCAGGTCTTCCTTTGGGGACGGTGGGTGAGTGCTCGAGCTCCCTCCCTGCCTCCTAACGAAGCTGATGGTGGGCCGAGTGGGATATGAGCTGGCGAGTCTGGAGGTGCAAGCTCTCTCTTGATCCCTAGAACTTGCCCAATCCGAGCAGCAGGGCAACTAGGGGAAGGAGGTCAGGATCCCCAGGGCAAAAGTGGTGAATGAAGTCCTGCCTTCCATTGCCCCACGTGCTAGATTCTGTCCGTCCCGTTTCTCCCTTGAAGTGTTTTCTGGCAACCAGTGACATTGATAGTTTCGTAAACGGACTTACTACCCACTGACCGTGCGGAAACATCAACTCATTCTATTATGCAGCTGAACAGATAAATAAGGAAAATACTGTGTTCTTATTTAGTAAGAACTCTTTGATCTGTTTAGAGCAGAATCAAACTCATGGGAAAGTTTTCTGTTTATTTTTGGTGGTTACTTAAAGGAAAAGAATTCTGTTTCCTGAGGCTACTGTAACAAACATCTAAAACTGGATGCTTTAACATAAGGGAAATTCAGCCTCTCACAGTTCTGGAAGCCAGAAGTCCAAAATCAAGATGTTGGCAATGCCCCAGTTCCTCTGGAGGCTCTAAGGAGAGAATCCTTCCTCGTCTCTTACTTCTGGTGGTTGTTGGCACAACTTGGCTTCCTTGGTTTATGGTCACATCCCTGCAGTCCCTGCACCTGTCTTCACGTTGCTCTTCCGAGTCTCTTATGAAAACACTTGTCATCAGATTTAGGATCCAACCCAATAATCCAGAATGATCCCGCTTTAAGATCCTTAAATCTTAATTACAAATATCCTTTCTCCAAATTAGGTAACTGTTCTGTGTTGAATGGTGTCCCCCACAATGCTCATGTCAACCCAGAACCTCAGAATGTAACCTTATTTGGAAATCATGTCTTGCCCACATAATTACTTAAGATGAGCTCATACTGTATTAAGATGGGTCTAAATCCATTGACTTATGTTCTTACAAGAAGGTCATGTGAAGACACACAAAAGAAATGGGAAGACGAGGTCATGTGAAGATGGAAACAGACTGGAGTGATGTGTCTCAAAGCAGAGGAATGCCAAGGATTCCACCTTGAGACCAACCACCAGAAGCTGGAAAGTTCTGGAAGTGGGGCAACTGGAGGGTGTGGTAAAGGATTTAGATTTTATTAAACAGTGTAGGAAGCCCCTGAAGGATTTAAAACTAGCTAGGGAAGGCATGTCCAGTTTTGCTGGAAAGATTAGTTTCGACACGATCTCTGAACAAATAGTTCACGAGGAAGTGAGTAAGTCAGCGGAGCTGGAAACAGTAATTAGTATAAGAACTGTTAAGCAGGAAAAATCTAAAATAAATGACCTGTCCCCTATAGGGGTGTGGCCAAGCCATCTGAAATGATTCCCAGAATCTGTTTATCAAACTGATGCTGGTACCGTTCACTGAGCCAGGGAAACTGTGTAAAGTAGATTTGGGGAGGAAATTGTAGATTCAGTTTATATTTTGTGTTCGGGACCATTGGAACATGTGAGTAGAGATGCCCAGAGGCAAATAGAATGGAGGTTTGAGCTCAAGAGAACAGAGTTGCTGTAGCTCTGGGATTCTTCAACAATAGATTATGGAAATCAGAAGCATTAATGCAGCAAATATTTACTTTTAAACTGTGTTAGTTACATCAGTTACTCAATCTCTGAGTATAGTTCATTTACTCATAATATTTATGAATGTTTACTATGTGCCAGGAACACGAATACACCTTATGATTGCTCGTGGACTTTGTGTTTAATAAAATGGTAATAGGAATCTGTCCCATGAAGCTGATGCGGGATAGTGTATGTATGTTGCTTTGCATGGAAAAGATGCTGTGTTTTTCATTTATTCCACAAATATTTATTGAGCTCCCACTTTGTGCTAGGCATTGTTCTAGATACTGAGGTTACAAGGAAAAGTGAGAGAGAAGGGTTCAGCTTTCCGTGCTGTTCCAATAATGACGTGAAAAAGAAAAGGAACAAGAGGCAATAGGCTCTGTGGTGAAAATAAAACCAGCCAAGGGAGAGTAACAAGGAGTTTGCTTTGAGTGGCCGGGGAAGGCCTTTCCAAAGGGGTGCAATTTAAACGGAGACACAAATTATGAGGAAATGTCCCCTGATGCTGATGCCTGGAAGCTGGCACCCCAGGCAGAGGGAGGACTGGTGAACATCCCATGTCAAATCCCTAAGGTGGCAACGATCTTGACACGTGTGTTAGTTTCCTGTTGCTGCCTTAACAAGTTACCTCCACTCAGTGGCTTAAAACAACACAAATGTCTTGTCTTACAGTTTGGGGGCTCAGAAGTTCAAAAGGGCTCTCACTGGGCTAATAACACGTTTGCAAGTCTGCATTCCTTTCTGGGTTTCTAGGGGACAATCTGTTTCCTTTTCCTGCTTTTAGGGGCTGCCTGCATTCCGTGGCTTCTGGCTCCTTTCGTCTTCACAGTCGGCAACGACTCAGCCAGTCTTTCTCAGGATGAACCATTCTGGCATTGCCTTCCTCTTTCAATCACAGAGACCCTTCCTATTACAGTGGGCTCACCCAAATATTCCAGGGCAATATTCCTATCTCAAGAGCCTTAATTTAATCATACCTGCCAAGTCCCTTTATAAAAAAAAAAAATTATAGTATGCTAGAAGTTAACCCGTGCAATTTTTGGTGGGGGAAGGGGTGGTAATTAGATTTATTATTTATTTTTAATGACAGTCCTGGGGATTGAACCCAGGACCCCGTGCATGCTAGGCATGCACTGTACCACTGAGCTAGACCCTCCCCCACAAAGTACCTTTTGCCCTGTAAAATGACATAGGCACAGGTTCTGGGGGTTAGAATGGGACCATCTTTAGGGGCCATTAGTCCGCCCCCTACAGCATGTCAGAGGAGCAGAAGGAAGGCCAAATGCCTGGAATACAGCAAACTGGGGGGTTGGAGGAGGCAGGGGCCAAATCATCCAGATCATGTAGGTATTTATAGACCAGGTTATAAAGTTGAGAGTTTATTTAAGTGTGATGGGAAGCTGTGGGAAACTTTTCAGCAAGGGAAAAAAAATTATTAGAAGGTCACTCTGGCTGGTGGGTAGAGCAGGAACTTTAAAGAAGAAATGAGGTAGGAAGCTTTTGGAGTGGTTGAAAGGAGACAGCCTGCTGGCCTGCGCTGGAGAGGCAGTGGTCAGGGGGAGTCAGAAAAGGAAGATCGTTTCCAGCTGTGTTACAGGGGCAGCGACAGCATTTGCTGCTAGGTTGGATTTAGATGAGTTAGGGAAAGAGGAATCAAGGGCGACTCCTAAGGTTTCGCTAAATCCAGGATTTGGGTGAATGTCGGTATCAATTTACAAAGATAAAAAAGGTGCAGAAGCGCAGAGTTAGGAAAATCAACTTATTTCGTGACAGCTTTGAGGGGCCTGTTAGAAATTCAGATGGAGATCAGGCAGCTGACTAAACAGTTCACAGAGGCAGATCAGGGCTAGAGATAAAAATTTAGAAGTCATTGGCAGGAGTGGTCTTTAAAGCCATGGAACTGGATAAGATTACCCAGGGAGACAGTGCAAACAGAAAAAAGTCTTAATAAAGGACTACAAGTCAACTACTACCATCCAGAAATCTCACCCTCTTTCCAGAAATATGGCCCCACTCTACTCAATGATCTTCAATGGCTTTATGTATCTTGCAGAATAAAATCCACATTCCTTAGTCTGACATACACTGATCTACATATCCTGTACAACAGACTGGGTGAATTAAATGACAGAAATTAATTTCTCACGGTCTGGAAGCTGAAAGTCCAAGAGCAAGTTGCTGGCAGGATTGGTTTCTCCTTGGCTTGCGGATGGCTGCCCTCCTCATGCCCCTTTTCATGTTCTTTTCTCTCTCCATGTACACATCCTTGGTGCCTCATCCTCTTTTTGTTAAGGACACTAGTCACGTAGGATTACCCTAGTCTTATTTTAACTTAATCACTCCTTTAAAGACCTTATTCCTAAGGTCTGGAAGTTGGGAATTCAATGTATGAATTTGGGGAGGACACAGTGCAGCCCCTAACAATGGACTTACAGAGTAGGACTGAAATGATCAGATGCCACTTCCAAGACTAGATTACAAAAAAACTGTGGCTTCTGTCTGGGGCCTTCTCTTCAGGCTGCTGTTCCTCTGCTGAGGGAAGCCAGCTGTCATGAGATCAGCCACAGAGGAAGGAGCCCAGTGGCAGGGAGATGGCCTCTCCCTCTGCAGTCAGCCAGGACCTGAGAACTGGAAGGGGCTCCTTCTATAGTATCTCAGGATGACGGCAGCCCTGGCCTCCACTTTCCTGCAGCCAGTGGACCCAACTGAGCCATGCCCATAGTTCTGACCCCCAGGAACTGTAGGCTAAATCATGTTTGTTGTTTGAAGATATGAAATTGGGGGGGTAGTTTGTGACCCAGTAATAGATAACTGATATTTAAGCCGAATGGCAAAGAGTTGAAAAGTGGCTGCAGTGAACATGGGTAACTCAGTCAAGATGTTTCGCTGTGCTGTTGAGCACAGCAATTATGTGGAAACTCTGGAGAGACGTGACTCAGGGAGGGGTTTCTTC